TCACAAAAAAAATCATATAATGGCCTTAACGAATGTCTTTTTCTTCTTCACTTGATCGTTAATGTATTTATAAGGGGTAGAATGTTGATGTATTCCAATTTTTGAAACCACTTGGCCATTTTGTATGTAGCATCTTGCCGTACATTTAGCGTTAATACAACCCCACACTTTTTTGCCTTTAGTTTCCGAAATAAACGTATACAAATTGTAGTGCAATACTAGGGCTTCATTTCCGTCATCGTGGATTATAAACCGAAACATTCCTACGAATAAACAGGCGATAAGAATACGCATTGAACAGAATCAATTCCAAACTGTTTAAAATAAAAATGATAAAAAAAAACTTTATAAGGATGCAATAAATTACACTTTTTTTAAGTAAGCTTAATTAATAGACTAGACTAGAATCAGCTTTTAAATAAAATCAGAAGTTTTACTTGATTTTTAAACATTAATTTGGGTTCTAAATTACTTTCATAAATAAGATAATATAAACAAAATTGAAATGTTTTATAGTTATTTGTATGCTATTAAAATCCATTAAAAAATATTTGCCTGTCTGTATGGGGTAATCTCTGAAATGACTGAACCAACTTCGATGAAACTTTATGAACATGCAGGGGAGGTTGTCATTAATAATGTAGGCTACATTTTTTTCACATCACGGAGAATAAGCTAGTTATCAATAAAACTAACAGTTTCTGTTCTCTACCGTTTTGCTTTTTATTACAATAAATCAATAAACAGATTTCACATTAACTTAAAATTTATGATTGCATATACAACAAACACCAAATAAAATCCAGCAGTAGAATTATCCTTTTATTATCAACTACTGTTTAAAAAAATACAAAATTACGGTGTATCTGATGTAACCGATCTACGCCATCTGTTTAATTTATGTCTAATCACGGTGAACGGGGTTTCCCTAGCAGCATTTGGGTACCTAAAATAGAATATAAAGTTGACTTAAAAAGAAATGTACCCACATTTTAGTTTTTACAGAATGCACCATTATACATAAATATTATAGATTTGATTACATACATACATTTCACTTAATGTAGTGTACACTTCCCTAGCACTAATTGCTGGATTTTTAACCATGACTTCTTTCAATTCTCTTAAAAACACTATTTTTTCTTCAGCAGCAAAATCCGGTGGATGATTATGGGGTCTGTTGATTTTAATATCTTGAATTGTTCCTTCATGAGGAATTATAGCTCTTGCATGACATCCTAAACGCTTGTATTCCAAACATCTCAAATAACTGAAGTTTAAAAAGAAAAATCCAAATAGAATAACTTAATATTTCCTTCATCTAGTTAATTGCTGTAGTGTTTTATGTATCATCAAAACCAATTTCCGGTTAAATGCTTTCTTTTTTCAATAAAAAAAAAAACATTTTATATAATCACTAACTAATCAAGCCCTAATAATAATGTAAACGTATGCTAGAGGTAGGTAAAGGTAGGAGAACTGAGGGCGAATGGAATTCCAGAGAGAAAGATAGAGATAGAGAATGGTAGGACACTTTTTGAGATATAAAGGCTCATTAGAAACATATTAGTTATTATACATAAAAAGCAAAAAGGGAAGCAGATTATTTACTTATCGTAAACAGTTTAGAGTGGAGGTAGCTAAATAACCAGTCTTTGGACAGATATAATGATTATGATGTCATTTGATGATTAAAGTTATATTTTAAAATATAGAATAAATTAACTGGCTTCAAAGATTATAACAGCATGACACTTTTCTGTTATTCCTGAGAAGACATTTCTGTTTTGCAAGAGAAGAAAAAGGAGATTTTTTAGAATTCCTTCTCTTGAAGACAATAAATAAATTATCGATAGTTATGATTAAATTTTAATATAAAATAAACGTTTTTTTTTGTTTCGAGTATAACAAAACAAAATTGAGAGTCAAAAAGATTTATTATATAAAAATGAATCTAAGGATCTCTTTACGTACGTCATAGGTGGAGTTCCTTTCATAATATTCACATGAAACACAAATCCATCCACTATATATCTCGGCATATCTTGTTTCCGTTTTATAATCGAATGCCCTCCGCCTGCCTTGGTGAAATCCGATTCTGAAGAGTCTTTTATGCAATACACTTTTCTGCTTTTAATTGTATAAGCAGCAGGGTTATCTGTTTAAAGTAATAGCAAAATGTCAGTTTTTTTTTAACGACAAGACAGTAACTTATAACTAGGTGCTATTACCTACTTTCTATAGGTAATTGTAATTTTTAAGATAAACGTACTTAAGAAAGAAATAAAACACTCACACTTGGGTGACAGTTTAATACATTTAAAAATTATTTACTAGACTAACAAAATACAGATATACTTAGGAATTATTTAATAATCTAAAATCTCTTCGATTTCACCTCAGAATTAGTTTCTCTTATCCACCTTCTCATCGTGCTCCGAATGGATTTAAAAGTAATATGATTAACCATCTTCGGATACCTAAGGGCAAAAGTAAACTAATAACTACTTAAGATATAAATTACAGACCCATCAATACCTTGTCTTAAAGCTTACTCCTTCAAAATTGTTTATTACTAACAATTTCTAGAATAACACATACGTCATACAATCAAAACAAGTATATCATTTTATTTTTTCTTTTTATGATTAAATAATTATCATATGTCTGAATATGAACCAAATTGATGGTCGAAACGTCGCTTTATACGACAATAAAATCTTACATTAAACTGTTGTCTGTTATTTGCAAAATTAAATTTGAATTATTAAAACTGAATTTTAATCCAAGAAAATTAAAGTGTTATCACAAAAAGAACATTTATACTTTTTAACTTTGAAGGATTTATGAGTTAATTGCAAATTGTAAAATACCAATACTTACAAGGAAATAACTGTATCATACAATTCCTTGTGGTTACAATCAGGAGGTGAGCATAAGACAAGGCGTTTAAGTTCTTGAAAAAACTTATCTTTATCATCTGCTGTATCATCCGGGGGATGATTGTGCAACTGAGTTATTCTTAAATCGGCAGTAGTTCCGTGTAATGGCATGATCGCCCTTCCACGACAACCGCTTCTTGTATATTTAGAACATATTAGGTATCTAGATAAATTAACAAAATCAACCAAATATAAATTTTCAATTCGATAAATGAATGCTTAATTAAATTCCGAATAACTTAGTTTTCATTACAATAAGACAAAGCTAATTTGATGTCCAGAATTGATTCTTTTCTTCTGGTCAATTCGCCAGCAACTGTGGTTGAAAAAATCATTCTCAGCACAACCCCAAAGAATTTTACGTCCTCGTCACGCTTCCCGAGGGTGCCAACCACACCATCGATAACCACGTCTGGATGGAAAAGAACCAATCCTGAACCATAGCTATGTAACCCGAATATTCAGCACTTAGATAACATACGTGAAAATCCTACCCCTTTCATATTGTTTATTGAATACATTTTGATTGCTGATAACTTACAAAAGCCTACGTTCTCATTTTATATCTTTAAGGCTTCGAAACAGAAAAACTGATGCTAGCTAGAATTATGTTTTATTTTAAAAAATAAACGTTCAGCATTTACCTTGTGGGTGGATTTAAACGAACTACACTGTTGTAATAGGTGAAGCCGTTCACAACGAACTTCTCACTTTTGTTTCTCGTTTTTCGAGGACTGTGCGGATACGATTCATCTAGTAAAAAGAAAAGAAAACTTGGCCTTTTGCTTACTTCCTTTCAAATTGGCTTATAAAACTTTAAATACATATATGTATGTAGTACCGCAATAAGCCGCAAAAATATTTCGGGAATGGTGAATTAAAATAAGAGACATAAATAAAATAAAGTATATTTCCTTTGTTTTATTTATTTTATTTAATGGTTACAAACTTAAATATCTAAAATATTTTTAGGATTATTACGCCATCTATGCATAGATGAATATAATGATTTAAAGGGCAGTTCTGCCGCCACTGCGGGATACCTAAAATTGTTATAAATACTGACATTTATACAAAGGACCTTTATAAAGTAATAATCAATCTAACTTACACTGAAGCTATATTATCATATACAACTTTCAGAGAAGTTGGCATGGTCAAGACTGCTCTCCTTAAATGATCCAAAAACTCTTCTTTGTCTTGGGCATTTTGGTCAGGGGGATGATTATGGGGTTTTGTTATTCTCAATCGATCAACATCGGCATCTAACGGTAATATTGCTCTTGCTCTGCAACCTAATCGTTTAACTTCCGAACAGCCCAAATATCTAAAATAATAAATTTTTATTCTTGCATCAGTATTTTGGGTTATATTTCAGCTTCTTGTTACTTCAAAATTATAAAACATAAAACTTATTAACGAATCAAAAAAAGCAAAAGCTAAACTATCAAAATGAATACTTAATAAATCTAACATTGGTAAATTAAAGCATACTACAATGTTCTATTCCAAAATCTGAATTTACATTAAATTCATTCCATATTTACCTTATATTTCTAGCCACCAATTTATTGTGATACAGAAATCCACCAAAAACAAACTTCGTTCGTGATTGATTCTTTTGATAGGGCAGCATGTAACTGCAACTTTCGTCACTTAGTATATCGGTTAAATCATCTACCAAAAAAACAGTTACGATTGTAATATTCAACCACATCACTTGTAACATTTTTTTATACAACTTAATCATTTGTGTTCACGATTAATAACGTTCCAATAAAAAAATCCATTTGTTCAGCCAAGAAATAAATATTACCTCATAAGAGTAATTCTGTTCATTTTTATATCAAATTTCGCTATCTTCTTAAACTATTAGATGTTTTAGTTTCCATTTCTTTCTATTAATACAGACGCACAAAGAGTTTTGTTTCAACCGGCGGTTTATAAAAAATAAACTCTTTTTGTCTTTGAATTGACATGTTGGATGTTTTAACAAGTCGACATAATTTTAGAGTAGAATTACAACAGAAGAATAATAGGACAAAAAAATCTCATAAATAAGAAAACATTAACTTTATTAGTTAATAATAAGTTCAAAAAGCACTACATCTAATATAATTACCTATCAAAAAATAATTTTGGACATAAACAATAAATACCAGGTACTTACAAAACTAAATTAAAAAAAAAAAATACGAAAACCATATTCGTGGAATTCCTGTAAGTTTACATTGATTTAATACATCCAAACCAAAAAGAAACTCCAAGACATGAGTATAACTTGATAAATAAATATAATACGAAAAAGCAGTCCTTATGTGAATAATATATCTAAAAGAATGGATACAAGTTTTCCATATTTTATAAATGGGGATTACAACGCCATCGGTGTAACGACGAGCTTATCGATTTAAATGGAATTTCTTCAGCACCACTTGGATATCTAGAATTTTGTATAACTATAAAATTTATCAAAAATATAACTCAATTTCACCTACATTTCTGCAATGGTTTCGTAAACCTTTTTAAGCGTTGCGTTTTGCATCGAACGAACTGCACTTTTCAATTCTTTAACGAATTCATATCTTTCTTCTGCATTAATATCGGGAGGGTGATTATGAGGCTTCGTTACCTTCAATTGATCCAAAGTACCCCCAACTGGTATACTTGCCCTGGCTCTGCATCCCGCCCGTTTAAACTCTGCACAACCCAAATATCTAAAATATTACGACATTAAGAAGATACACACAATAAACCACTAAAGTCGATAACAGTATGAAAATAGCCTCAATAACAGTAAAACTTTCTTTTGTTCTTTTTTCTGTTGTTCCTTATATGTACAGATTGTATATTGAATTGATCATTTGGTAATAATGAATATTAATAATGTTATATTTATTGTAAGATAATTAAACTAATATATTTACCTTAAAGGCGGTGTACCAGCAATAACATTGTTATGGTAGACAAAACCATCAACAACAAAGCGCATTCTAGCATTCATCCGTTTTTTTGGTTTCTTTTCACTGGTCTCAATAGAAAACTTCACATCTAATAAAACAATAAACACTGTAAGTCTCCCGTAGTTAACTGAGCAATAACTTGTACTAACTTATTAACGAATTAAAAATAGACACCATACTTTTACATACATGTTTGTATAAGTAAAATTATCTTCTATTGGCTACCCAATACATAAACAATGATGTAATATAATCTTAATTAATGTACCGAAATTCCAAAATTACTAATTTATGAACCAAGAGTTTCTTAATGGTCACAAAAATAAAAGTTTTCTATGTTAATCACAAACGCTGGTGTATTAAATTTCCCGATATCCTTTTTAAACACGTTGTATTAGTATTTATTGCAATGTGTTAAATTGAACAAGTGTTTTGGTTTTAAATTGTATATTAAGGAAGTTCAATGCAAACTAAATTAAGAATTTTTATTAAATAATTTAAGATACAGCTCGACAAGTTTCCAGAAAAGAAAAGCAACAAATAGACAAAACAACAAAATTAAGCACTGTTTGTTCCTT